GGGATGGGGATTGAGGTCCCTGCCCCGCCCCAACCCCGATTATGCATATATATATATATATATATATATATATATATATATATATGTATCAAAATATATTTAAAAACTTATTTATAATTTAAAATTTTTATTTATTTACGTATATTTATTTTTCCAATAAATATTGTTATCTAAAAAATTTCGGGGATTCGGGTCCCTACGAGGAACCCATCCCTATCGAGGATCGGGGATGGAGGACAAATTTCATCCCCGGCGGGGATCGGGGACGGTTACGGGGGGTTAATTTCATAATCGGGGTCGAGGGCGGGGAATATGATCCCCGCCCCATTGCCATTCCTAGACCCAATAGACCAACAAATGGTTAAAAAATGGGTCCTAATTATATAGGTCATTTGTGGAACTGAGATATGCACATCGAAATTCACCACCCATGTTAGGAAGACCATATATAGTTGTCGGAAGGATTACATGGACATAAAGCCAGCATTGTAATATGGTGTTTAGAAAACAAATTTTAGTTATCATGTTATTTAAGAGTTCATTCTTTTAAGTAAATAAATCTTTACCAGCAACTTTATCATTTATAGTAATTCCCAAATTTAATACCAATAGTCAATCATTCAACTGTTTCAATTTTTTTATCCTTTCTTTTTTTTTTTGATGAATAACCACGCTTTTTGTCTTATTTTTTATCCTTTCTCTAATCTCTGAGATATGTATGCTTTTTGTGAATCTTATAAGCCAGGCTTGTAAAGATCATATATGCAACATTTTGTACAGCTATTTGGAGGGGTCTTCCCTCTTTTTAATGCAATACAAATATCTCACTTATCAAAAAATGTATATATTACTAATTAATCAAGCCTTAATATTTAGGTACTGTATTTGAATAGAGAATTAATGCATTCATTTTAAGTACTGGACTGGAATAGTCATTTTTTTTTTATTTTTCTCTATTTTCTCACTAATCGCATGACAATATTCATCATTTAGATGAATTTGCAAATTCTTCACTAGATTTGTAACCAATTTGATGAATTATCCTACAGTTCTCATGCAGTTTTAAGCATTTTCTCTGAATACTCCTGAAAGTCCTGCATACAATAATGTGTATTTGCTGGTGAAGTGACACAGTGACAGCATCTTGCCTTTGCCCTTTCAATGCCTTTGAGCAAAACTGTTTCAATTTTTTTCTTTGATATGTTTCAGTATATATTCGGGCATTCAGCTCTCTTTACTTTCTTTACACAAGTAACAGATTAAATAAGTCCAGCATATGCAGCCAATACAGTGGAAGGAAAATAATGCAATAATTTTACATGACAAATTATAATCATCATAAGATAACTCCTTGCAACTATATCATTAAATCATTAAATACAATTTGAACGAGTCAATGCTGTAGAGAGACTGGGCCGAATGGGCCCTAGCCCATTATTATCTTATTGATTAGTTCTGTCTTGTTATTTGTTCTTAATGGGCCTTTAATTCTTTTTATGTTTTCTAAGTATGCTGATGAGGTGGACGTCCACTTAAGGGCAGACTTGTAATTTATGTAATCTTAGTAAGATTAATAAAAGATTAGAGTGAAGAAAGAGAAGATTAGCGAACTCTTTCTTCTTCCTCTTGCTGTCTTCTTCTTCTCTTCCTCTTTTGCTATAATCTGAAATATTTTTACTATTTCTTATTGGTTCGAATCACATCTTGGTATCAAAGCAGGTCTTCCTTCTCTTTTATTTTTTCTTTTCTTTTCCCATACACTCTTCTAATCAAAAGGTGTATGGAGAGATAAGTTGTTGATTATTCAGAGAACTTATATGCCTAGTTGGTATAGGGTTTGGAGAGTAGAGTCTGGCTATAGATTGCCAAGAAAGTGGGGCTACTGATTTTTTGCCCAAAACCCTAGCCACCTAGAGAGTTTCCAGTTACAAGTTAAAGAGATTGTTTGGGTGTGGCGCTCAAGGCTTGGAGGGTTCCTTTTGATCTCCGAAAGTGGGCAGTTGCAGTTGGAAGAGGTTTGGGAAGCTCTAGTTGGAGCAGCTACTTCTCTCTTTCTCCCCAGAGGCCAGGTACAGTGAAACCCTAGTTTTGGGATTTTGAAGTGCTAGACTAACCTCAATTAGGTCTATAAAGCTTGAAAACCTTGTTTTTTTATTTTCGTCTGACCAATGGAGGAATCTAGAAGTGAGATGAAGCAGATCCCAGTGTCAAGGATTGGTCTCGTAGATTCCATTTTGACAGGAGTGACTACAATCAAACTTGAAGGAACAAATTATTTAGCTTGGGCACAATCTGTAAAGATTCATGTTTGTAGAGGAAAACTAGGGTTTCTCACGGGCAGTAAGGAGAAACTGGAAGAGGCTGATCCTATATATGAGAAATGGATGCAGGATAACTACACAATTATTGGATGGTTGGTAAATTCTATGCAGCCCCACATAAGTCAACACTATCTTTGAATAACTTCAGCCAAGGAAATTTGGGATAATGCTACAAAAACATATCCTCGAAAATTTAATGTTGCAAGGGCCTACAAAGTGAAGAATGATGTGAAAAATCCGAAACAAGGGAAGAGGAGTGTAGTTGTCTACTACTCAATGTTGAAGTCACTATGACAGGAGATTGATGTTATGGAAGCATTTGTATGGGAAAGCACCAAGGATGCAGAGACATTCAGGGAATTTGTGGGAAGAAACAAGGTGTTTGAGGTTCTTATAGGACTTAACCCTAAATTTGATATTACGAGACGGAATATTCTAGCCAAGGATGAAGTAACACTTGCTCAGGCATATTCTATGGTGAGCAGTGAAGAGAGCAGGTGACAAGTACAGTTACAAGGTCCACCACCTTCAAAACATTTTGCACATGCTGGAATAAAATTAGAGGGGTCAACTGAGAAGAAAGAGGTGATATGTGATTGCTGCAAGAAACCGAAACATACTAAGGATACTTGTTGGAAACTTCATCCAGATCTTCTTCTAGATAGGTTACGAAACAACTTTAAGAAAGGTGGTCAGCCTGAAAAGCCCAAGAATGCAAATGTTACTACAGCATCTGAAGGTGTAAATAGAGAAAGTGAAGAAAAATCTGTTGTGGAGCAACTGGCAGCAATGAAGGCAGAATTTGAGAGATATGGGAGGTTAATTAATCACTTGGGGCCTACTATTGCAGCTTCCTCCTCAAGCAACACCTCTTCATCTGCATTTGCCCATTCAGGTATTCGTGCTTCTGCAAATCATGCTATGACCTCAAGCAATCGTGAGAATTCCTTGGATACTGGTGCATCAGACCATATGACCAGCATATCTAACATTTTCTGTCCATACTAGCTCCTCTCTGGTAGAGAGAAGATTTCACTTGTCGATGGGTCTCTTGCTCCCGTCTCTGGCAAAGGGAATATTAGAGCCTCTGTGAATTGCAACGTAAC